GATCTTGTACAAATATCAGTAATAAGGAGAGGAGGAATAACCAAAGACTTTGTTTGTTTAATGTTGATATTTATTTTATTTTAATTTAATTTATTTATTTTAATATAACATAAAACACAGGCCCCACCATACTATACATATGCATACAAATACACCTGGGGGTCATGCATCATGGTCTAACCCTGACACACCACAAGATCAACATCACAACCAAAAGCTGACTCATCAGTCAACTAAATACCCTAACAAGCCCCCAGAACACCTAAACAAATCCAAACAAAAAGTCCTACATGTACAATACAAACACCTATATACATCTACCCAGACAATGCGGAAATTAAATGTTGATTTGTATTATGGGACAGGTTAGACAAACACATATTTTGCTTTCTAAAGACACACAAAACTGCAGAAAATATTGAATGCAGCAAAGAGAACAAGTCATTACAATTAATGCCAAATTGGGACAAACCTATTAAATGGAGCCAATAAAGTGGGACTGCAGTCAGGAGTTGGTGCTGATGGTATAGAAGTCGCTCCCCACAGCTCAATATAACCACACTGATTAGCACACATGTTACACAATCTCAGTAAAGTCAGAATAAGCTGACTTGGTGTGACAAAACTGAAGGTGCTGTCATTTGTACAACTTGTTTCTAAAGCCAGTGCACAAGGATGAAAACTTGTCAGACACACAAACCCCTGGAACCCTGAGAAAAATAAAAAGCTGTCATTCACCGTTTTTCAGATGGAGTTCAGAACAATTAAGCACAGCCATCTTATTAAAGTCAGTCAGGCCTTTGATTGATGATTTATTGTGGCTTTAATCACAAGAATAAAAATCATATCAGTGTCATAAAGCTGATTTGGGTCGATGTCCACCTCCTAAATTTCCCGGAAAAAACCTGGTGACATTTACCTATGCTGAATGAAATGTGAGGTGTTTCTGTTACCCTGTACATGCAATAAAAAGAACATTTAATATAGATTGATGCCTTTGCTAATATATATTAGTATATTGCCACCTGACACAGAAACACACCACTTGGTGGCAGCAGTACCGCTGTTTTCTTTTCTAACCACAACTGTTTCATGTTCTTTGCAGCACTTATGACACATTGTTAAAAGCAGAGGGTTTTATTGGTTAACACATCTGAATTTAACAGATACATTTAATTTAACATATTTGTGCTACTCCTTGTACTACATCTATAGTGATGTTCAGAAATGTTACCCTTTTTTTAATGAATTATAATTCTTCCTAGACGTGATGAAGTTATCCAGAGAGAAACCGAGAAGAACGAGGAGATCAAGACAGTGGAGAAAGTGACAGGAAGTACACTTCACACAAATATTCTTAGCTAGTAAGTAAAAAGTTGCCTCTTAATACACAGGAAAACAAATGTTTATAGACACCTTCAACATTTTAGTTATTCTCTAGTGATTTCAATTTGGTGGTCACTTGCAGGTCAGAAAGAAATAAGTGAGAAAAATAACCAGTGAAACATGAAAACATCAAGTCACGTCTGACCTTAGTGACCTTTCTGTCCACAGTAATCGCCCCAGCATGAGGCGCCGGAAGCCTCTGAGTAACTGGTCCAGACTGGTCTACCTGTACAGCGCCCCACAGGTGAAGTTCTACTGGAATATTGTGTCTTACTTCGCCTTCCTCTTCCTGTTTGCTGTGGTGCTGATGGTCGACTTCCAGGTCACTCCCTCTGCTGCGGAGGTGCTGCTTTACATCTGGCTGTTCTCTCTGGTGTGTGAGGAGGTCAGACAGGTGAGAGAGCGCAGCCTGGACACACACACTTAAGGATAAATCAACATATACTGAGGTCCGAAACTGCTGCGGTGCTTTTGTCTTTGGGCCGAACATCTGATTTGACGTCATTTGACAAACATTTCTTAGAAGCAGTGCTGCTCTGAAGATGAAAATTATTTAATTAGTTGAGTAAAACCTCAGTGGGTAGAGGAAGTTTCACAAAAATGGAAATCTTTAATAGATTTTTTTCAACTTAAACATGGCTGACGGTTCACACTTACAGACGAAACATAAGTGGTAGACGAAACAAACAAATTCAATAATTACAAATCAGAAAAAGATATGATACTATACATTTACACAGCGGTACACTAACATGAAGACTGGATTCACAAAAGATTAGACTAACATTTAAATTAGTAACATTGGAAGAAAAGTATCACCAGTAAAAAAAAGCTACATTAAGTCCACATACTAAGTACAACACACAAGAATAAAGAATTTAAGTGGTTTCACAGTATATCACTTCTTCCTCCTCATTTATTGTGACTTACTCTACTGTCAGGAATACACAGAATTAAAAACAAATGTAATGTATGTCTTACATACTTAGACTGTGATTACTATTGGGGGTTTCTTCGTTTCATAAAATGATGCAATATATCAAGGAATCTGAATGTAAACAATATTTATTGTGAAAACTGCAGCGTAGTAAAAACAGAACTTAAATATAAAGATTTACTTTAACAGTTCTTCCTTTTCTGCTACTCACCAGAAAAGTGGTAATTGTGTAATTTCTCCCCCAAATTCACACTCATGACGATTAAAATCCAGTTTTGTTTATTAAAACCAAAGTAATGGAAACAAAGAAATCAACAAATAATCCAAACAAATCCAACTAATTATTTTTTTGGGGGGGTAACTGTAATATTATTACTGAAATGTATTAATAATTAGTTAGACTACTAGTTACTGAGGAAAATGATATTATTACTGTAATATTATTAATAACAATGAGTTACTGCCCAACACTGCATAAAATACTCAAAGTATTTAAGTATTGAAAGTATTCTATTCTATTCTATATAAGTAAGAATTGTCATAAATAGTTTTCCCGTTTAAGAGAGTTAGTTATGGGTTATTAATTGTTGTGTTATAAAGTTATAAGAGTTAGTAACAACTTGCCCTGACCGTAGTTCTCTTCACAGTAAATAAAACAAATATTACTGCCTCTTGAAGAGTTAAAGCAGTTGTTTCGGGTATTACAACTTCCCTATGTAAAAAACCATATACACATCATAGTGGAAATTAAAACCAGCACTGAAGCACTGAGTTGTTCAACAACAAGAGAACATAAAGGAACTGTGCCACTAATGGTTGCTACTAGCAACATAATGTTTAACTGAAACAGAAGACACCTTCTGCACAATGCATTTGTTATTGCAAACAAATCATATGGAAAGACCAAAACCAGCAGTTCTCAATGAATCTTTCTAATGAGTCATTTCTGTGTAGCCAAATGCCTGTTTTATCTTATTCCTCTGTGCCATTGGCCTCCAAACTTTAATTAATTTAAAACACATCAGTGAACCAGTGTTCATTACCATGTTCATGGGATTGTAGTTTATTTTGAGTCAATCCCAGATACATCTGCCATCTTCTGTAAATTGAGCTCCAAATGCATATTAATCAACCACTGGAAACAGTCTACCAGAAATGCACTATTGACTCCGTTTGAGTAATTGCTTTAAACTGCAGTGCCTCTTGCATTTGATTTTAAAGATTTACGTCTTCAGCAGGCACCAATGGACTGAGTGTCACAGACAGAGTAGGGTAGTCGTAACGTACGAGGAGACAAACAACAACCAACACAGTGTTGGTTTATAGACTTTTTTGTGGGTGAGTTAACAATAACATAAAAATACAATAACAGCAGCACTATCATTGAATGATTAACTGATAATAAAGTTGAAATTAATTAAATTAATGCCATGACATGTCACAGTGTCTGCTGTGAGAAAGGGTCTATTGGAAGAGGCAACAATAAGTGACCAAATCTTTTTTTTTTCTCAATTTTTGGCAGTTGCAATATTTAAAGTGTAGCAGGCGATCTAACAGACTTATCTATGCTGACATCTCATGGATAGACTATTTGTTCAAGGTGTAACAAAACTAATAGGTTTCATAATCATAGCTTCTTCAACCCTCACTTTCTTATTTAATTCACTGTACCAGGCTTAATGTTCAGTGTTTCTTAGTCAGAACAACTTTGATTATTGGGCTCCATCTGAGGTGTTACTCAACTAATAAGGTTATTGCTGCCTCCAGCCTTATTCTAGGAAATATTTATATCACTATTGCTAAAAACTGCCAGTTTTAATTATTTGTCTTTTCTATCTCAGCTGTTTCATGATCCCGACGGTTTTGGGTTTCGTAAGAAAGCCAGGATGTATATCAACGACCTGTGGAACATTTTAGATGTTCTTTCCATCCTCCTCTTTATCATCGGCCTTGTATTTAGGTAAGTTTCCTTCCTCCCTGACGATCGCTTTAGGCCATGTAAGTGGCCACCACTTTATCTATGAATCACCAAGTCTTTTCTATTTCAGGCTGACGACTGAGCTGTTCTATGCGGGTAAAATCCTCCTCTGCATCGACTTTGTGGTCTTCTGCCTCCGCCTCATGGCCATATTCACTATCAGTAGAACCCTGGGACCCAAAATCATCATAGTCAGGAAGATGGTGAGAGGTCTACATAGAAATACAATGAACGCCGTCCTGATGTAATGTGGGAGCAACCGCAGAGCACAAAATGCTACGCTCCAAAACACCTTTTATCTAATACAAAAAGAGGCTTCTGCCTCACTGGGCCTCCATCTGGTGTCTGCAGATGATGTACATTTTGTGGTGTTTTTGAGTGTTACAGCTGGTCTGTTTGTTTGTTACCGCACTGGATATCAGTCAGTCAATACCTTTGAGATGGGATGTGTTTTCAAGAAAAGCCATTATTGTTTGTGCAGAGATTATATCTGGAGAAACATGGTAACATTGCAGAAACTTGCCACTGCAAAATATATCATCTGTTAAAAATGTAGCCTAATACAAGTCAACCACTAGAAAATAAACTCTCTGCTGTACAAACATTACATGTCAGTGGTTGCAGTATTCAGATTTATTTACATTTTTGTCCTCCAGATGATGGATATGTTCTTCTTCATGTTCCTGCTGAGTATCTGGGTGGTGGCGTACGGTGTGGCCAAACAAGGCATCCTCATCCACAACGACAATCGGCTGGACTGGATTCTCCGAGGGGCAGTTTATGAGCCGTATCTCATCATATTTGGGAATTTTCCTGCAAATATTGATTGTGAGAGGAGATAGAACATTATATTCATTTATTTTTTATGTGAAACACTGTAGTTTGTGAAGTAAATATGACTATATATGTTATGTTATACAGGAAAACACTTTCTTTGCTTTCTGCAGATGCTGAATTTGATATAAACTCCTGCAGCATGAATGGCACCAATCCTCTGAAGCCCAAGTGTCCGGTGCTGAATGAGAACCAAACACCAGCCTTCCCTGAGTGGCTCACCATCATCATGCTTTGTGTTTACTTGCTCTTTGCCAACATACTTCTGCTCAACCTGCTCATAGCTATCTTCAAGTAAGGTTCTTTGTGGCTAAATTCAGTGCTAAGTTTAGTAGTGTGAGTTTCTCTGCAACATGCTGTCACTGCATGTCATCCTCAATCTCTCTTTGTCTCTCTGTGTTGCTGCACAGCTTTACATTCCAGGAAGTTCAGGACAACACCGACAGAATATGGAAGTTTCAGAGATATGAGCTAATTAAGGAGTACCACAGCCGCCCTGCTGCACCCCCTCCTTTAATCATCCTCAGCCACCTTTACCTCTTCATCAGGAACATGGTGCTGTGTAGGCCTCCCATTGTGAGCAAAGAGTTTAGTAAGTATTTATTTCTGCCTATAATGAAAGAAGACTTCATGGTTATATACAGTCCTTGAAGAAACTATTTGGTGGAACAAGCATTTTTTTCTCATTTGAGAGCTTTTATATGAATGTTTTTACCCCCATTTATACAAACACTTGACCAAAATCACATGATTAGGTCACATCATAACAAGTAAATCATTTCCTTGGTCAAGTTTACAATTACAGTTTTCTGATTATTCTGCTCTGAGCTACAAGGTTAGTTACTGTTCTTAAACCTTTAACCAAAAAAAACAACAACAACAAAGCACAACATCCAACCCTTTGACCCTTTTGCAGTCGATGCTGTGACTGATTTTGGTCTTCGCATAAACAGTAAGGCGGTGAAAAAGCATGTGACACTGTTTTTCAGAGAGCAAGCTACCTGGGAATGAGGAAGAGGAGCTGTTGTCCTGGGAGGCCTTGATGAAGGACAGATACATGCTGTCCACGCAGCAGGAGCAGAGCCAGAGCATGGAGCGGCGCATCCTGGACACGGCCCAAAAGTAAAATCCCGCAGGAATTAAGCCTAATGTAGCTGTGTAACAATCAATGTTACCGCTGTGTATATGTGTGTGTATATATATATATATATATACATTAATACTTTAAAACCGCCCTACTTAATCATTTTGTATTAATAATGGGTCATAAAGCGCTTTTGCTTTCTTGCTAAGATCTAGATGAGGCTCAATACTAACCTCAGGCCTGCTCCTAGAATATGAAGTCAGGAGACGGTTAGATTAGTTTAGCATAAAGACAAAATTCTTATCTTTGGACATAGTAAGGACAGCTGTTTTCCTCTGTTTCCAATCTTTGTGCTAAGCTAAGGCTCAATATTAAGGTAAAGGCTTAATATTGAACAGACAGACACATACACTTTTCTATCCGTTCCTTTAATGCTGAAACATACAGTCAATGTTTTTAAGGTTAACCCAACACCAACACTGTTCTTGTTTGTTTCCTGAGGGTTACCACCATACACGATCGGCTGGAGAGGGAAGAAGAGACAGGCTCTGATGCCGTGGAGAAAAGACTGGCCCGACTAGAGGAGCAGGTTGTGACCTGATTTTTTTTGTTATCACCAATGTTGCACCTGTGTCTGTAACATTTCACATTATGCTGCAGGAGCAGAGCATGATGCAGAAAAAAGATGACACATTTCTCGATGCACCCATGTGTGTTTGTTGAATGTTGAATATCCCCGGTGGAAAATCTCCAACGTTGTATAAGCAGTCATCAGAAGTATCTGACCCACTTTTATTTTGTCTCATCAGGTCGTCCAGTCAGCCAGAGCCCTGCAGTGGATTATGGACAGTCTGAAATCTCAGGGTTTTGGAGCAAAAGAAGCACAATCACTGAGTCAGCACCTAACCTCATCATTCTTTATGATTTACATGTTTGTTTTTAATATATGTAATTCTGCAAATATCTTACACGTCAGATCTCCGCTTGTTGGCACTTCATTCTTCCCTGCAGCGTTAAGCACAACAGACGAGTCCCCTGACACCTACGTTAATACGTCAGAGAAGGAGGATGGGTTCCACGTGAACGCCCGTCAGTTTAACTACCCAGGCAGCAAACTCACACGCTTCCCTGTGCCTGAGGAGAAGGTGCCATGGGAGGTATTTCACATATACCACATTCCACCATAAAATCACAAGCTGCTGGTCCTCACAACGTCACTGCTAGAGTACTGTATTCACTGATGGTTTTCATTAGGAATGTCATAACAGCAACAACGCATTTATTATTTTATAAAAGACCTTTAGCACAGATTTGTGTAATTATTTTACAAGGCTGCTGCTGGAGGTTGTTTTACTTTCCCAAAAACCCAAACTGTACAGTTCAGCGAACATAACATACAGAGAAATAGTGGAATGGAATTCACTCACAAATCATTATACAACAAAATTATATATGTATGGTTTTAAAGAAATGCCAAGAGAGCATTACTTAAATGGAAACTTAGTTACTTGTAGCTACTCTTGTGTGCATAAGGGTTCCACAGGCAATACAATTAAATTATGATATATATCTGTTAGAATATGATGTATTCAGATGGAGTCTTTTTTATTTTTTTTTATCTTATTTGTAATTGTTGTTTGTTTGTCTTTAAATTGTGTCAATTGTTATTTTTACAGTAAAACGTAGGTATGATGTGTTGGATGAGTAATGTGAATGTTTGTATGTGTATAGTATTGTCACCATGTAAAGTATGTGGACTCCAAGAAGAAAAACTTCTGTTATGCAGAACGCAATAATGATCTTGATAAACAGACAAACATTAATGAATTAATAATATGGTTTGGGTTTGTTGGATCTAAGTGGTTTTAATGTCCTCTTTGTTTTAGGTCAGCTTCAGCTCATATATGCCGACTTCATACGCCACTGAAGATGGTGGGGACCACGTGGATGGGTGTGTATTTACCACGTAATGTACCATACATAATGTTTGGTTGCTGTGGCCTGGTGTGTGGATACATTTGCAGTCTTGAAGGGTGCTTTTGTCAAGATAACAAAAGATGTTCAAATCGAAACAAAGAATGTCAGTGTCATCTCGAATCAAATATAAAAATATATTTGAAATATATTTATTTAAATACTACAGTTACAACACAGCCTCCTCTGAGCTCTTCATCTCTTACATTTAATTTATTCTTTCTCTCTGCAGATCAGAATCAGATGCCTTAGATAATTACAGGTATGATACTAGATACGATATACAATGTATCAAATAGCACTTTCAGTAACTTTACAAGCATGTCTTTGATGTCTGATGTGTATCTTATCTGTCATTAGAAACCCAGGAGGGAGGACGGGCATCACGGGACGAGGTGCACTAACCCGCCTTGGTGCAAATCTGAATGTAGACCTTGTGATTACACGGTAGGTCGTCTCATGTCCTTTCACTGCTTTTAAAATGGTTGTTTTTGCCATCATTGGATTGCACAGTATGATCTAAGACCTCGAGAATTGATTTTTAGCTGGCGAGACAGCGAGCGATCTGTTTTGGAGTACCTCGGGGTTTGGGGTGAGAGCCAAGGAACCTTACTTTTACCTGGGGTGAGTCCAACTGTTTGTCCACTTCAGCTGTTTTTTTTCTGCTTTTGTTTTGTTTTTACTTTTTGAGCTGTTCACATAAATGTACGGTTATGATTTTGAAAACCTTCAGGGACCAGTCCAATCTGCTGACCAGCTGCCAGCGAGTCTTAAGAAAACCATGGGAAAGAGTCTGTATGAAAAAATAAATGAAAAAGTATCAGAGGGAATAAAGGTAAGACACTTTGCTTTATAGAGTAGAGCTTGAATGTTCCTAGAGGGAGTCAGTCAAATAATAAATACAAGTACATTTTGTGTTAAAAAAAGACCTTAACGGGCCAGTGTGTCACATTTAGGAGGATCTATTGGCAGAAATTGAATATAATATTTAGAGATATGTTTTCATAGTGTGTAGTGTGTAATAACTTGAATATAAGAATTGTTATGCTTTTTACTTTAAAGCTTTACTTTAGAATGAGCCGTTTGTATATACAGTACAGGCAAGTCCACCATGTTGAACCGCCATGTTTCTACAGGAACCCAGAATGGACAAACCAAACACTGGCTATAGATTGGGTCTAGTTTAGGGGCCACTATAGTTTCTACACACTTTTCAAAGACGCTTTTCATTGCCAGGTTGTAAAATTCTGACGTAAAGAGGTGTTCAGTTAGTTGCAGTTTGCAACTTCACCACTAGATGCCACTAAATCCTGCACACTGCTCCCTTAAATACTTTATTTGTATAATAAGAAAAACAACAATAAAACACATGTGATGCAATATTTAAATCAAAGACAAGCAAGAATTGTTAAAGAATAAGAACAGATTTGGTCAAGCCTTTGACGATGATTAGCTCTTGAGTTGAGTATTTAAAACACATTAACAAGGACTTTATGACAATAAAAGCTTGATCACCATTTGCGATGAACCCTGAGTGAGACACGACCAGAGCCCTTTGTCTGATGATCTTAGATTCTTTATGGAAATCTGAGTAACCTACACTCATAGTTTCCAGTTTATTAGGTACACCTAG